CAATTTTTCATACTGTATATACCTTTTCTTCCCTTTTTTGCCACATTCATGTCTTCATTCTTTTTTATGTAAACATGAGCATTCATAAGTACAAACAAAATACAGCTTTATTATGGTATATTGTGCTAAACATGTTGTGTTGTTCTCCCACTGAGCTTTAGTTTCACACTCTTTCCTCACTGTTCCTCCTTTCAGACTTTTACACAGAGGGGTTGTCTCAGTGTGAAATCTCTGTGGTCTCTCTCAGCTCCATTCATGCAAGTCTGGTTTCTCCATGCTGAAGTAAACAGGAGTTAAGCCTTCTGCTGGATACTACTGTCACACACAAAGAACACTAGTGTTTCACGTATTAAGTAAAAAGCAATAGCTTATTAAAATCAATAATACCCTTTAGTATCTCACAAAAGATCCTTTATTCTCATTCTATTCTTATGAATAAAAAAACATAAAGGCTTTTCAGTCTAGCTGTGTTTTGGGCAGAAGTTGAAGTAACCTCACAACCAAGGCAGATGAAAAGCATATAAATATTTAAGGATGGACGCTACAGAATGAATTTATTCACTAACAGATTTAAGTTAAGAGGCTGTTTTGGTTCTGTAGTGTTTCAACTGCTTTTTCAGAGGTGTCAAATTAACACTTATCCCAGAAGAAGCTATGATTTAAAAAAAAAAGTTATCAAAAACATCTAATAATGTTATTTTTTACAGAAATGCAGCAATTAAACATTAAAGTAATCTTTAAAAAAAAACAACAACAACAAATAAGCGGGACTTGACTGCAAGTTAATAAAAAAAAATAAATAAATAAAAATCTGGAAGTCCCCTGCTTGGACCCCAACCTAATGGTCTGTAAACTTCATTATTACAAGAAAACACTAGACAAAGAGGATCCAAACTGGCTTCCAGACAGGCTATAATTTATATGTTAACTTGACCTGAAGTACACAAAAAAGATAACACAGTTCAAGTGTCTGGCAGAGTACAGTAAATGATTGATTAACATACACATTTATGTCCCTTAAAGCTTTCAGATACAGGCTACATCAGCTAAGGTGATGAGCAAAAAAAAGAAAATGTTAGGAAGAGATGGTAAACTAATTGAAAATATAGCCGATAGATTAGTTAGATTTGAGACTAATCTTTTGTTGCAGCCCTTTAGTGTAAAATAAAGGACTTTATGTTTAATTTTTTTTTAAATACTAAAATAAAGGTGTGAGGCTCCAATACAACCCCATATATAAACCAATGCAAGTATTAACAGTAACTTTAATTTTCACCTTTTAGAAAATGTAAGAAGGGAAAAAGTGTTTTCCCATTTGCTCAGAAAAAAACTATCAAAGCTGCTACAAACCTGCATCCCAGACCTCCTGCATAGTAACAAGCAAACACACTCAAATACAGTCTATATTCGCTGTGGTAGGGGAGTCGGTGAACTATGTAGTCAGGACTTTTGTTTGTGTAAACAGCGGGAGCACGTTGCAACAAGACATCTCAACAATAAGGGCCTTCAGTATGGGAGAACTTGGTGGGGAGAGAAATCATCGCTGTGCTGTGTGAGGGAGGCTCAATGGAGTGTGACGGCATGTTTCCGCATTGTTTCCCTGCATGCTGAGGCTGCAAACATATCCTCTTGGAGTGCATCTGTTTGTGGTTATCTGTTACACGTAGAGCTCAACAATAGCCAGTTATTGCTCTTTCGCTTGTATTACTAATTCATGGCTTTAAAAAGTGCTGTAAAGATATTTTTTTTTACTGAAAGAAAATGTATTTGCTTCCTGTTAATAATTTACTTATTTCAAATAAATTAACTTTACAGTTGGCACTCCGCTGCACAGAACAAATATGAATAACTTGTCACATAGCAGGGAACTTGTAAGAAAGATTTATCACCCGTTTATAATGTTTTATAGTCAGTGTAATTATCAAGCAAAGTGAAGACGATCATTTTTATCAGCTTTACTTGAGTTTAGCTGCATAGTACAAGAGAGCAAATATAGGACTGTTTTTTTTTCTTCAAATTGAATCAAAAAGACCTATGATCTTTTTTTTTATTTGTAACATAAAAATGTGTGTACAGTTGTTCATATTTCCTGCACGGCTTTTTGCACGGCTATCTGAGACATATATTAGATATGACAATTGCAAATATGACTTAAGTACTTTTGTCACCATATCACATCAGGGTTCAAGCTTGCAGCTGCAGCACATGCTTGAATTCTCCTAAAGTGAGGGACAGTTGAGGGCTAATTTTCACTCGATAGGACTCGATATATCATACAGAACGCACATTCAATTAATTTCTATTCAGTTTAATTATGTATCACCAATTCGAAACACATGTCATCTCAAGGCCTTTTACAGAGAAAGTTCAACCAGATCATACAGTCAGATTGGTTCAAAGTTTTCTATCTAAGGAATCCAGCTGATTGCATCAACTCATTGACTTGAAAGCAATCTCTCACATCAAGCATGCTTGTAGCGGCAGTGGAGAGGAAAAACTCCCTTTTAACAGGAAGAAACCGCCGGCACAACCAGGCTCAGTGTGAGCGGCCATCTACCGAGGCCGACTGGAGTTCAAGGAGATGGAAGCAGACATGCAGAAAGAAGCAGAGATACAAAAGGCAACTGTAAACCAGCTAAACAGGCGGCCCCATGCAGGAAACACACAGACTGGCAGACCAGCACCTAGCCAGCTCCCATGTCCGAGGATGAAAGAGAGCACATACAGTTAGTCACAGTCAGAGAAACAGGACTACACTAAAAAAAACAGATACTTCTAACAAAGCCAATCGAGCCTAAGATAGCATTAAAGACCACATTAAAGCTATCACCTTCAATCAGCATGGTTTTAAAATCACCCACTAAGATGACCCTGTCAGTATTAAACAACAAATCGATAGGAACTCTGAAAACTCATTTAAAAATTCCAAGTAAGGACCTGGTGGATGATACAAAGTTACAAAAAGGCTGGCTTTGCAATTTGGATGAGGAAAACTAATAGTTAAATGTTAAGTTATTTTTTTTATTACCTGCCTTTGTAGTAATCAGTAAGTCAGACTGAAATATTGCTGCTACTTCTCCTCTTTGCCCAGAATTCCTGGGTATGTGAAAATTTAAACTACTAGAAGGAGTAGCCTCATTTATGCTCATATACTTCTCTTGCTGCAGCCAAGTTTCTGTAAGGCAACATAAATCAAGTAGAAATATATCTTATGTTGAAAAAAACAAATTTAATAGTTTAAACTTTTTCCCCAATTGGAGTTATTTTTATTCTAATTAGGATTATCATGATTTACTCCTTTGGGAATCTTTTCTAATTTATTAGAATTTTGATCTTGGGCAAGATGGATCTCTGGATGAAGCAATGAGTGGGTAACAATAGAGCGGCTATAGAGAGGTGTAGCTCTGGAGCTTCCGCACCACACTGACAACACCAAACCAAAATACTGCATATTTGCACCATACATATTTAATGTTCTGAACTTCCATATCAATGCATTTTTTGCATCTTGTTTTATTCTCCAACTCTGTTTACATTTGATCACTGGTGCAGTTTAAGGAATGGAAATGTTCGGAAAGCTTCACAAAACATAATTTCATTTTGTATACACTATTTGTATACAAAATAACAATAAAAGTTGTCTAAGTCCAAATCTAAACTATGTCTCTGCTTCCTGGTTTGCGCCCTGGGTGGTCAGTGTTTTGGTGGACTAATAAATTCGGCCAGATTCATAGAAAGAAGAGCTGCACCATCTAAAGTGGGATTGATGCCGTCTCTCCGAATCAGACCAGGCTTTCCCCAAAAGGATTGCCAATTATTAATGTAGCCCACGTTGTTTTCAGGACACCACCTAGACAACCAGAGGTTGAATGATGACATGCGGCTAAACATGTCATCACTGGTCAGATCAGGGAGGGGAACAGAGAAAATTACAGAGTCTGACATTGTTTACACAACTTACACACCAAAGCAACACTAAATTTAGTGACCGATTGGCGTTACCGGCTGTCATTACTGCCAGCGTGAATAGCAATCTAGCTGTATGTAACCTTATCCTTAGCCAGCAGTTTCAGATAGGATTTGATGTCGCCCGTTCTGGCCCCTGGCAAACATTTGACTATGGTCACTGGCGTCTCTAATGCCACGTTTCTGACTATGGAGCTGCCAATTACCAGAGTGGGCTTCCCAGTGGGTGCGTCACTGAACGAGGAAAATCAATTAGAAAAGTGGACGGGTTAGTGGTGACCAGTGGGCTGAGATCAACGACTACGCTTTCTGTGTAATGTTACCCAATCGCCTGGCTGCTCAGGCACTGTTGCAGGAACACTACATGGAGGTGTCCCTGGTCATGGTGGCTCCAAGCAGTTAAAAAGGAGGGGCTACTCTAACTCCTTTATGTTCAACAGCCCAAAGCCGGGATGCTAAATCTGACACCCTCGCCTCCAAAGCTACAAAAATACTACACTTATTACACATCCCATTATCACTAAAGGAGGCAGAGGAATAACTGAACATCTGACACAGAGAGCAGGAGAAAGGAGATGAAGGTTTAGAAAGCGAAAAGAGTCAGGGGAAGGAGAGAGCGAAGCCATTGCTATGCTAAGCTAGCGTCAGCATAGGCTAGCTACCCCTTACTATGAGAAATAAAAATCATGTGAAAGTGATAAGTGCTCAGTAGAAAAATACAGCTGTATGGACTTAAAGGCTGACATTCAGTAGTAACTCAGTCTATTTGATGTTAGTTCTCCCAGATTTAACTTAGGCAAAGCTTTACGGAATTATACACTGACATATTTTAGGGGGTAAAAATCAAAGGATTTCATTCTCAATTAAAAAATGTAAAAAAAAATCCTTCAGATGTTCACCTTTTTATACTGTATTTTGAATGTATAACAATTTGGTTCCCAAGGCCCTATGTTGGTTTCCAGCTTAATCTACCTTAAACTGAGTAAATCAGCTAAATTCCTAACCTGAGCCTTTTTTTTTCTGTCTCTCTGCAGAGAAAACCCAGAAACCAGAAAAGAAGAAACAAAATGGAGTGAAGAATAAAAAGAAAGAGAGAAGGAAGCTTAGTGCTGGCAAGAAAAAGGAGAGATGGAAGTCGGAGAACGGATCCCTGCTTAAAGAGCTTGGTAAAGTTTATGTCTGTGTGGGTGTATTTCTGTGCAGCATTTCCTGAACTCTTGTAGCTTTTTTTGCTAAAAGGTAGCCTCTTATTTGTGCTTAATTAAAATACATCCTGCCTTGGTTAACCCTGTGCAGCAGGAACTGTCCACTCTCCTCTTGCATGACCCGTTAGTGAGGACATTCAAACCAAGAAGTTCAACCTTATGCAGCTTCTTTTCTAACATTGATCAGGACTCAGCAGGCAAAGTGCAGAGAAAACATGAGAGTTAAGAGTTCAGCTGTCGGTGGAAAAATTTTGAGGACAGTAGAGAGTTTATTTTATGTGAGGCAGTTAAAAGTAGGAGCTGTACTCCTGAACAAATCAATTTGAAACAAGATCTGACGACTGTAACCTCAATCTAAAACTGTCCGACTTGGTCTTGATTTAAAAGCAATAAAATATAGATGTGCAAGAATGATTAATTGCACCAACTTTGTAATATCTGGGTGTGTTATATCAGAACTGCAAAAGACTGCTCTATGCAATACATTTTGAACCCTCATAATGCATCGGAGTCCATGGAGACCATGGTTTTCTTTTTTCCAGCCCTATCCAGTGTTTTCTATCCGGTCATACATTTTCTGTCATTGCTGTTATAAATGTAAGGCTGCATACTTTAAGGTACACAATGTACAAAAGATTAATAAAGCATTTCATGACTGCTGACCTGAAGTAGATGGTAGATAATATTATGCATAGACAGTTATTGTTAAATGATGAGCATATTTGCTGGTTAATCAGGTCAGACCATTAGCGCAGATAGCCAGCCTGCAGTGTGCTGCATAACAATCTTTCCAGATTTAAAAAAAGGCTCACCTTAAAAAAAAAATACAGTGTCTTATCAAGTTTTACATCCAGCAAGCAAAGCTGTGTTATTGCAAACAGTGTTATTTCAGAAAGCTGACTGGCAGTGCACAGCAACAGGTGGGGGGAAAGCAGAACTGCATTATTCTTTGCCTGGAGAAAATTACTGCAGCATTTTCTCTGGCAAGTTTAAACTGTAAAAAAAACTATTTATTTGAAACTTTGCAACCCCCTCTCTAACCTCGCTTTAGTTCTGTTACCTTGGAAGAGTTGGAAGGGTATGGAGTTAACCTTTAAGAGGAATGACTTCATTAACGTTGACAAGATTAGAACCATTTGATTACATTTGGATTATAATCAGATTTAAGTAATTATACTAATTAAGATTAGCATAACGTGAAAAGTGGCATACTTCAGTTTTTCCTTATACTTAATTTTTATATATTGTCTGTAAACATCAAGGTTTGAATAGTTTTGAAATGTTCCTCTTTTTTTTTTTTGCCTTCTGATTTTCAGTTCTACCATGCCTACAATCTGCTGCCGTAATGCAGTACAGCAAAAAATAAACCAAAAAAAGACTTTAATGAACAAGGACCTAAGCACCTTCTCTCTTAAAATTCTGTTCATTTTAATTAGTTTAGAAAACTCTTATTACAGATTACTACAGTTATTTTCTGTGTCTCTGCAAGGTCTAGGGTTTATTGCAGTTAATTAAAATGTTTTTTAATTTTAGTTTTTGNATCACTAAATGAGGCAGAGGAATAACTGAACATCTGACACAGAGAGCAGGAGAAAGGAGATGAAGGTTTAGAAAGCGAAAAGAGTCAGGGGAAGGAGAGAGCGAAGCCATTGCTATGCTAAGCTAGCGTCAGCATAGGCTAGCTACCCCTTACTATGAGAAATAAAAATCATGTGAAAGTGATAAGTGCTCAGTAGAAAAATACAGCTGTATGGACTTAAAGGCTGACATTCAGTAGTAACTCAGTCTATTTGATGTTAGTTCTCCCAGATTTAACTTAGGCAAAGCTTTACGGAATTATACACTGACATATTTTAGGGGGTAAAAATCAAAGGATTTCATTCTCAATTAAAAAATGTAAAAAAAAATCCTTCAGATGTTCACCTTTTTATACTGTATTTTGAATGTATAACAATTTGGTTCCCAAGGCCCTATGTTGGTTTCCAGCTTAATCTACCTTAAACTGAGTAAATCAGCTAAATTCCTAACCTGAGCCTTTTTTTTTCTGTCTCTCTGCAGAGAAAACCCAGAAACCAGAAAAGAAGAAACAAAATGGAGTGAAGAATAAAAAGAAAGAGAGAAGGAAGCTTAGTGCTGGCAAGAAAAAGGAGAGATGGAAGTCGGAGAACGGATCCCTGCTTAAAGAGCTTGGTAAAGTTTATGTCTGTGTGGGTGTATTTCTGTGCAGCATTTCCTGAACTCTTGTAGCTTTTTTTGCTAAAAGGTAGCCTCTAATTTGTGCTTAATTAAAATACATCCTGCCTTGGTTAACCCTGTGCAGCAGGAACTGTCCACTCTCCTCTTGCATGACCCGTTAGTGAGGACATTCAAACCAAGAAGTTCAACCTTATGCAGCTTCTTTTCTAACATTGATCAGGACTCAGCAGGCAAAGTGCAGAGAAAACATGAGAGTTAAGAGTTCAGCTGTCGGTGGAAAAATTTTGAGGACAGTAGAGAGTTTATTTTATGTGAGGCAGTTAAAAGTAGGAGCTGTACTCCTGAACAAATCAATTTGAAACAAGATCTGACGACTGTAACCTCAATCTAAAACTGTCCGACTTGGTCTTGATTTAAAAGCAATAAAATATAGATGTGCAAGAATGATTAATTGCACCAACTTTGTAATATCTGGGTGTGTTATATCAGAACTGCAAAAGACTGCTCTATGCAATACATTTTGAACCCTCATAATGCATCGGAGTCCATGGAGACCATGGTTTTCTTTTTTCCAGCCCTATCCAGTGTTTTCTATCCGGTCATACATTTTCTGTCATTGCTGTTATAAATGTAAGGCTACATACTTTAAGGTACACAATGTACAAAAGATTAATAAAGCATTTCATGACTGCTGACCTGAAGTAGATGGTAGATAATATTATGCATAGACAGTTATTGTTAAATGATGAGCATATTTGCTGGTTAATCAGGTCAGACCATTAGCGCAGATAGCCAGCCTGCAGTGTGCTGCATAACAATCTTTCCAGATTTAAAAAAAGGCTCACCTTAAAAAAAAAATACAGTGTCTTATCAAGTTTTACATCCAGCAAGCAAAGCTGTGTTATTGCAAACAGTGTTATTTCAGAAAGCTGACTGGCAGTGCACAGCAACAGGTGGGGGGAAAGCAGAACTGCATTATTCTTTGCCTGGAGAAAATTACTGCAGCATTTTCTCTGGCAAGTTTAAACTGTAAAAAAAACTATTTATTTGAAACTTTGCAACCCCCTCTCTAACCTCGCTTTAGTTCTGTTACCTTGGAAGAGTTGGAAGGGTATGGAGTTAACCTTTAAGAGGAATGACTTCATTAACGTTGACAAGATTAGAACCATTTGATTACATTTGGATTATAATCAGATTTAAGTAATTATACTAATTAAGATTAGCATAACGTGAAAAGTGGCATACTTCAGTTTTTCCTTATACTTAATTTTTATATATTGTCTGTAAACATCAAGGTTTGAATAGTTTTGAAATGTTCCTCTTTTTTTTTTTTGCCTTCTGATTTTCAGTTCTACCATGCCTACAATCTGCTGCCGTAATGCAGTACAGCAAAAAATAAACCAAAAAAAGACTTTAATGAACAAGGACCTAAGCACCTTCTCTCTTAAAATTCTGTTCATTTTAATTAGTTTAGAAAACTCTTATTACAGATTACTACAGTTATTTTCTGTGTCTCTTATTTTCTGTGTCTCTGCAAGGTCTAGGGTTTATTGCAGTTAATTAAAATGTTTTTTTAATTCTAGTTTTTATTATTTGGTTAGTTTTAGTTAAGGATAACCTTGAAAAACACGCACTTTCATTATATACGGTAACATTAGACCTATTCAACCTTTTCTATCATCACATGATATGTTTTTCAAAACATTAAAAGCAATAAAAGTTGTTATACTAGACATATGGTGGAGTAAGTAATGAAATATTAGATCGATAAAAGCCAAAGCAGAAAGGATTTATTACTTTTTTTGTATAAAAAGCAACATTTTGGAACAAATAGTAGTTGGAATTAGATTCTAAGTAGCTTTTTATTGTACAACTGTTGTTTATCATCTTTCTGCCCTTTATAAAGTAATGTAAATAAATTAGAAGCTTATTAACTTAAGCTCTTTTACATACTGTATGTAAAACAGCAACTGTTATAAATTCCCATTTTATAAAGCAATGGTATTATTCATGATTAAAATTAGAGTATTAGTGGTTGGATCATTATTTTAAAAATTGCTGGATAACCAGTGGAAATTAAATTTAAAGATAAAGAGAAATGCAATACTACCTTAACTGTTTAAAAAGATGAAATATTAAAAGGGGGGAATTCAACATTCAAAATACACAATTAACTTTATTATTTGTGTTCTTTACATGGTTTGTAGCAAACTAAATGTCTTATATTACTTTTAGTTATGACTTTTTATCTTTCACATAAAGACAGTGTTTTGAAGTGCACCAGTATAATTGGTTTTCTTAAAATATTCTCCTAAAACCAATTGTCTGCAGCGCCCCCAGGGTTACCACAGGCCTCTGGGCTGCTTCTCTGGTTAACATGTCAGTTTTTTCAAATTAACTAACAATCCTCCAAGGCCTTCACTAAACAGAGTTTTCTTGTAATACTGAGAGTAAATAAGCCACAGATGAACTTTGGTAAATTAACTTTAAGAAAATGTGGTAAAACTATTTTAATTTGTATATCACAACAAGATGAATTAAGACAAATGCATGCCTTATACAACTGTTCATCACTTCAACTTAACACTAGCACTCCCAAGGCAGTCTGTTTAACGGTTCTGAGATTTTGAAGTGAAAGAACTTTATTTACATTAATCTTTAACCTGTGTAGTAAAATAGGCTTATTTATTATGATTAATTTTTAATACAAATTTAGACTACAGATAATGATATAATACAGCCTTATATGTTTTAAGGTCTACATATCCACAATGGGTTTATA